TATGAAAAACGTCAGTCAGCATTTGACTTAATGATAAATTGTATTTGCTGACAAGGTCATTGTATCAACTATAGAACTTACAAAATGATTACTTTAAACGAGACTGCTGATATTCTTGTTTCTTCAACTTGCTTGTCAATAATTTACCTCGTTTAAGAAATTGTTCATACGTAAAGCATGCTCTTGCGTATCAAATCAATGAGATATATAAACTCCGTATATATGAAGGTATTTACATAAGTAAGGAAAGTTGACGATAGAAAAGTTAAAGTCATCATGTTTATCAAATAGCGTGGTTGTTAGGTTACCATTAACGTCTCTTTCAAGCTTTCAAGTAAAATATCCAAGTATGAAACAGATGTGCCAGACTCTGTGGTATGCAAGTAAAATATAATTTAATATATTTTTAAAACTTTGATAACATTGATGAATATTCATACATGTATGTTATATAAAATGTCAATTTCAACCAGATAAAAGAGATAGTCATGAATACTTTTATCGAAAATCATGGTGTAGCATTTCTTTTCAAATGAATTAAACATTTATTATTTTTGCAAAGACTATTTTTCGGATTTGAAGACAATAAAGAATTTTATCACAAAAAGGCAACGATTGAACAGCCCTGGACACAAAGGAGAAATAATGTTGTTTAGAGCGGGACAATAAACTTGGAATATTTCGTATAAGTAGTAAAAAAAATGTATGAAGTAATATCATGTTAATGCATATAAACTGAAAATATGACGTGAAAATCTAAAGTGCAAAAACAAGTTCCAAAAACGATTAAGGTCAAGATCTAGTAAATGACTTTAGAAAAACGTTTCACTGCTAAATCCATTATGACGTCATAATCAATTTCAACTTTCTTTTTCCCGTACTTTACGGCTCTAATAGAATTATGTAGAAAATAAGGTATTTTCACGAAATTCAATTTGAAATCACATGAAAAGTAGTAGATACCTATCTTAAATTTAACATTATATTAAAGTAGAGACTAAGAACATACAAATAACCGTTTTCTGAGAAACTGTAGGCAATCTGGATACATTTTCTTTGTAGAATATGAAAAAACTCCCAAATTCAGGACTGGTTTCTTAATTTTTCATTGAAAATTACAGTTTAAAATATGGTTTTTCATCTTGTTTTTCTACGAAATATGCCCCGAAACACCTATTTTGACTAAGGTAATGTTATAAAGCATCATTAAAGGAATTAATTTCTTAAATTTGAAAAATCTGTAGGCACCTTCCATTTACTAGATCTTGACCTTAACCCTTCGCAAACATAAAAACATTAGTTACGTCGTAGTCCAGGGGGAAAACTTTGATTTATATACATCAAAGTATTTTTAAAAATAATTTTACATGATAACTATTGGAGAAATATATCTTGTTAGCAAACAAGACGGGATTCTTCAATTTATATGTGATTTTTATGAATTACATATATTCATTTTTACGTATATTAAATTTAAACCATATAAAATGCAACATATTAGTTTGAGAGATTAAATATTATCTAAGTAAATGAGAAATAATATTAAAGCAAAATATTTTACATCGTCAATTAAGACAAACAAGTAAGGATTGATTCACGGACTTTTGAGCTTGAATATTTTTCGTTATCTCCATATACAGGTATTTCATCAGCCATAATCATGATAATGAAATGCCATTACACTATAAAAGGTACCATAGTAACTACACTTCATTGAAAAAAAGTTGTGCAAAGAAAACTTAATAATAAAAAAAAAAGATAGACACAAGCTGTATACTGGCTGTCGCGAATTAATTTTCTTGTGAAGCTGATTACCAAGTTTCTGAAATCTTTAAGATCTACCTTTTTGAATTTTTGTCCAAAAAATGCTCGATTCGATACCATTTTGTTGTCAATAAAATAAATTTGCCTGTATAAAATTTAAATCTGCTTTTTTCTTTCCAGCCTTTTTAACAGGTCAACATTGGAAAAATCCGATATTTACTTAAATCAGAAACCAGTTGTAGAGTATCTTGTTAGAATTAAATAATATATCATTTTGTGAATGATAAAAGTTGTTGAATAAAATTTAAAAAAAAAAAAAAAAAAAAGGAGAAACAAAGCTAATGCAATCAAAATTAATGTACATACATGCAAATGTATCTTACCAAAGATACTAAAACATTATATTTATCAAGTAAATTTGTACAATATCGAATATGATACATTGGTTGTAAACTGTGTAGGATAAAAATCATTTATATAGCAATTTTAGGTTTAACACTGTTTACAATATATTGCTTTCATTGAATGCATTTTTTTAAATTGAAGTCTATAAGCAATATAATTTTTTCTTTGTTTTGATAGAAAACTATGTACATGAAACTTTGCATTGTTTGAAAACTATAAATAGGTTATCAAATATAATAGTGATTGAATACTACTAGTGTGTACAAAATGACTAAATTGAATTAAGTTGTGACAATTGTAAAAGAATGTTTGGAAAAGATTGTTCAACATTTTTCAGGTCCTTCAGTCAAAGAAAAATATTGAAAAGAAGTTGTATATCAGGACATAAATATGTAAGAAAATAAAAATTTAGAAAAAAACAAAACTTGTATCACGTAGGATCCAAAAATGTTGTTAGTATCTTGCAAGATACCTGCTGCATACCAGAAATTTGTATAACAGAGAATCAATTAATACCAATACTTAATTAAATATGTTGGATTTAAAAAAAAAATTGATAGAAAAAAATGTAAAATCCTTGAAAATAAAAGAAAATAGAATGAGAATGAAATACAGCAAAGAATGAAGATTTCAATAAATAAAGTGTCTGCATTATTAGAGAATTTTCACGACATCCAGTAGGAAAAGAAACATGAATGTCATGGTTTTAATCACTTGTTGTCTGTGTTAGGCAGCCAAACAAAGATGTCCAGAAATTCTTCCAATAACAGTCCAGGAGCAATACATCATGTGGCTGTTACATGGCACGTAGCAGAACCAATGAATTGTCGGGCTTGTCCTCAAATGATTAGACAGGAAAGAGACAAAAATGTAGCTGGCGTTACAAATTGGATGCAAAAGACACGCTCGTTTTGGTGCGTATTACATTTTAGCACAGAGACGTGTCATTAGAAGGGGTTCATGTCCTCCGAAGAAACACAATCGTTCTGTCTGCCACAGGGACTGTATTGCACTTAGTGCAGACTCGGGATCCGTTTTTCCCAATGAAAGGCAATATGTAATCTCTTTTCTATTAATTCATTATTTGAAAATTTTATTCTTTTAATGTACGGAGGAATGCATTTGTAAAATCAGAAAATCAAAAATATTTTTTTAAATAACACCTCATACTATATATACTCAAAGAAGATGGAACAGCCACATAAAGTTTCCATCAATGTGTCATCAAACCTACTCCACAGGAGTATTGTTAGAGCAAGTGTCATCGTTCAATATGTACATGTGATAACATTAATTATACAGTAGGCCTATAGTCCTAGTATTTGAACAAAATTTACTTTATCATTTTACAATAAGCGTTTTCTTAAATTATTTTGCTTAAAGACTTTTTTTACTTGAAAGAAGATGATAAATCTTACAGATTTTAGAAAACCTATTTTAACATAACAATTAAAGTTCAAAATTATTTTTATCTTGGCTCTGAATTTATAATTTATGCACGGTTTAAAGCACATTAATTTAAATGAGACAAACGTTTGGTCTTACATTAATTATCAACAATAGAATTCCCTAAAGGAATAAACTCTCTGCATGTAAATATTGAAATATAAGCAATGTTCTTATGGTAATATGGCTAAATGTATCATACTTGATGGGCAAACTTTGTTTAAACAATTAGGGAAATTTTTGCTGTTCGCATGCGTCATTAAGAAACACAAATTCGACGGAAACCGTTTCCCATAATGTTGTTTGTTCGCGCCAAACCCTGGAAACAGCAATCAATCATCAGTTGCTATGGTTATAACTAATCAGTTGTCTTATCTCCGTCATAAAATTCCCTCTTCAATACATATCTATCTGTAGATGTTTTAAAATAAGAACAAAAATTACAAATCAAGTGTCGGATGCCAGTCCCGGGCAGGTGCTTGGAACATCTAAACGACCCTAAGAATGATAAAGCCAGACTTGGCAGAACCTAGGCTCTATTAGACGGGGTCAAAAGCAGTCAGGAAAGAAACACGGGCTGTTTATCGCAAAATGATATCTCAATATAATAAATACCCACGCTGTTTATTACTGCAAAATAAATTGCATGTTGAATGAAGAAATAAACAGATATTAGTTGCATGATTGCGAATGTGATTACAGAAAGCAATGTAATGCCGTGACGGAGACTTTTTTCGCTTGTAGATCGCTTTTCGGTGATTTAGTGTTTTGCTTTAACAAGCAAATGCCAAACACAGGAGTGATCAAAGGGTAAAAGCCGTCGTATTTACCAACATTTACAAAACGTTTTAACAAATGGTAATTCTCAGATCATCTGAGCTACAGAATGCAAAGAAAACCTTATCTATAGGGCAAGAAACTGTTACTGTAAAATCTGTATCGTTAGAATTGTTGTACTTTAACATATTGCAAAGACATAAGTATTAAGGACTTTTTCAACGAATAGCATTTAATTGAGAAAAATTAACCCCATGTATGCAAATGATGAAGACTGCATGTTATACCCTTGTTTATCTACTTTGACAATAGCTTGCTTTGTTTCAGCAATTACATGTTCCTGTGTATCGAATTATATTTAAAACTGTCTATGAAGTAGACTTTTGAAGAAATTTTTTCCAAGGTATTTCCTATGGATTCCTTCGTCAAACTTAAAAACTTTTGTTTTGCCTACCATGCTTTTTGCATTGTACAACTTTAAAGCCGTAGCATGTAAATAGAGATAACTATTTAAATTTTCGTATTTATTTGATTGTTTAAATGACAAATAATAATATGTAAACAGCATTAAGTTTTCGAACTTTTTTCTATTAAAAAAAAACTATCAACAGGTTAATCTGATTAATGAGGTATTTATTTCATATTAAAAATCATATTATTATAATAGTATATATTTTCAAGCTTTAATCATACTATAATATCTTAAAATGTTACAGTTCATCAAAATAAAGCATAAAAACCCAGATTACATCCAACAGGAAGTAGATTACCCGAGATCAATAATACAGGCAGCGCCATCAGAAAACTGATTAATTAATCTAGATACATTAATATAGCACACCATATAAGTAAAATATGTCAAATTATAAAACAACATATACATATACAATGTACGTACGTATGTGGTAAAAAATTCTTATTTTCGTTCAAGAACAAAACATGCCAAAAGAAACCATGGAAAATATAACAGGTTTATGGCAGTGGCAGGGAATGCATTTCAAACATCATTTAATGATGAATGCCGACTTATAAAATAATATAAAAGATATATGATTGTGTCACATAAAAACTGTATAAAAATAATTTCTGTAACAAATTAATACTATGTATACTTCGTTGATTGGAGATCTTTACTATATGGCAGAGCAAAACAATCTCTAATACTGGAAATATTGACCGGAAGTGTAAACCGCCATGCGAGTGTTATCTCGAACACCTCCTACTTGGTCGTTTTTCTTCTCTTCTTTGGAGATTCTTCTTTTTCTGAAGAAAGTATACATCATATACTAGTAATTCTTATTTAACAGAAATTAAAAATATATATATAATTTTTTTTTTCTGACCTTTGTTTTCAATAACAAAAACCATGATATTGGAATTATGACAATTATTTTATGATAAATCTTTTTTCAGTTCTGCAGCTAAGCCTGTGATAGCTATATGCAAAACGTGATAAAAAAGTTCCATGGGTTGTGGTTCTTCACAACACATCTGTTTCTGTATAATATTTAAAAACCTTCTGAAGCTTTTACATTGAAAATGAGTAATAAAAATTTCTATTACTCAAAGAAAAGCTGTTAGATTTTTCATTACAAAAGCTCAAAGATAAAACCATCGATATATATATAGAAACCATTATATACAATACTAGCTTTACTTAATCACTAGGAATTTCTTACCTATGTCCTTTTGAACTCAAAATCTAATAGCTCTTTTTTGAGTACTAGTAATAGAAATTTTTATTATTCATTTTCAATGTAAAAGCTTCAGAGGTTTTTTAAATATTATACAGAAACAAATGTGTTGTGAGATGACATAAACATAACTTCTGGATAAAAATCATAAGGTAGTAACATCTACTCGTAAAGAAAAAGAAAGATGTATCATACTAAATCATTGATCAAACAATTCCAAATTCGAAAAATAAATGAGTATTATTTATACATTAGTCTTTGATAATATAATGCTAAAGATCCCGTAATGCAAATTTGGTGCAATTTATAGCACAAGATTTTCTGCGCATGCTTTAGAAAAAAAAATATTTTTCAGTATTATTTTATAACCCATCTGTATATTTTATCCCCTCTTTACCCTTTAATGTCTTCTCTACAAACCAATAATTGTATGATGGCAGAAATTTTACATCAAGCTCTATGATAAACATGATGACTACATGTAATAACTTTTCTACCGTCAACTTCCCTTATTCATGCAGCAATTATATACCTTCATCACTTCATGACCTGCATAAGGAGTTTATATCTCTCAGTTAATTTGATATGCAGGAGCATTCTCTACGTATGTACAATTTCTAAAACGAGTTAAATTATTGACAAACAAGTTGATGAAACAAGAATAACAGCAGTCTCCTTAAAAGTCATCATTTCAAAAATTCTATTGTCGATACGATGACCGTGTGAGCAAATACAATTTATCATCGAGCATGCTGGAAAGCAGCAAAATACAACCCCAACTTTGCGCAGAAAATATTGCACCATATTTGCATTACAGGATCTGCAGTGTTATGGTGAAAGACTAAGATATACTAAGTACCTGTAAAACCATAAGACTGCATTTCTGCAGCTATCACGTTTTACACTGCTAATATTTGAATCAACTTGATTTTAATTGATACATACTTTGTATAAGGAGGGAAATACTATTTTAGACATTATTTTACAAAGGGCTACTCTGTAAGGTAGCAAGGGAGTAATAAGGTTGCAAGGGAGTAATCCCTACCCGGAGTGTCCTCAGTGGCCTCATTCTCCGTTAGTCCATCACTGATGACCATTGATCCTTCAGGATCATCCTAAAACAGATGGATCCGCCATGAAAGGGAGGGGTCATTGTAGACTAACATATCACACAAAGGGAGATAACCACAAAAACCACACAGGTGTCACAAAAGAGGAGCAACAGTGAGGAGAATGTCAAATGTGTGAAAAATCTTCACTGAAAAGTAACACTTAATTGTCCAGGTCTTATTTACCAGAAACAACAGAGAACACAACGCAAATACAGGGTTATAAAATTTTAATCTCTTCATTTTGGAGACATAAGTAAGAGATTCAAGATTTTTCACACATCTGCATCATGCAATAACAAAACAATAAATGTAATCATACATATTCATATACAAAATATGAAAATATAAAAAATATTATGACAAGCTCTGTGAACTTCGAGGATGACAGAGAAAATTCATATTTTCCACTGGATTTCTGGTCAAGTCAGAAAACCTGACTATACAAGAAAATCTTGCATAAAGCTAAAAGAAAATTCCACCAGGAAGTTTAACATCCTCAACATTCACAGAAACTGATTTTTAAAATTAAAACATCTGAACTACAAAGATCTATCATAAAATCAAAGATTAATTCACTTGTATAATACTGTATCTTATATGCTTACAGAAATAAAATAATGTATAACAAATCAATTTCATACATTGAACATTAAAATAAAATACTGTGTATAAAAACTTCAGAAACTGATATTTTATTACTGAAACTATCCCCTATTTCTTTCTTTTATCAGATCAAATTGTAAACTTATAAAATACATGTACATTACACATAACATACAATGTATTTTAAATTCTTTTTTTTTATTCATACCATAAACAGTTTTCTAAAAATCATATATTTTTTTAAATGATCACTCCTGAAATCATATTCACTACTTGAAAGGTTACTAAGAAAATCAATAATTAATGAAATCATTCAACAAGACTTGGTGATAAGGGAAAGCTGGTGAAGTTATATGTCTCCACAGATTAATATATCACACAGGCACCTCTGATGTTACCTTGTTTTTCCTAGCAAAAATCTGTCAACCCCCCCCCCCCCCCTCTTCCCATCCTGTCATAACTTTACATAAAAAGTGCAATTTAGAAACCAAAAGAGAATATCAAAACAGCCTCCCCCCCCCATAATGCTTTCATAACCATAATAAACTTGGCTTGAAGTTTAATACATACAAAGTTTTAAAATCATAAAACATAAAGTACTTAACATGTACTTTAAAAGAGGTAGATGGTTTAAACTTCTTTTGACAGCATAAATTATATAACCTTAACAGTGAAAAAGTTTCACTTTAGCTCTACTATAATATTCGAATTAATCTAGCCCATTACACCAAATACTTTGGAAACTCCCTGCACCTAAGAGTTTTACATGACCTATAAAAGTAACATCAAAGCTTGGATTTTACCGGATCCTGGATATACCCAAACAGCCTCATCCGACTGATGCCGCCATCCGGAGCCATGGTCAGCCGCACGTGGTTCACCACGCCACAGTTATGAATGCTGTGGCGACCAAACTCGTGTTCCTGATGGGCGTACAATTTTTTGGGGGGTAGAAGGGTTTTCCAGGGCCCCCCATTCCTCTCTCTTATCGCTCCTTCCTCTTCTTCCTCTGTGATGTTACAAGCTTAAGAAAAAAATTTAACAGAATTGTCAGTAATAGGGTGATGTGAATCAAGTCTTTGTTATAACATCCTCCATCCTCTGTCTCTTTACATCTTGCTACAATAAATGTGGATTTTGCAGTTGTTTCTCTTTATCTTGAACTTGGACAAGATGATACTTAGAAACATCCAAGAAATCGAGATAACAATTAAGGTTTATAAACATAAGAAATTATTGGGAGTGCTTCAGTATATTCCAGTATTCAATATTCCATATCTCCCCGCCCCCACCCCATCCCCCGAATTTCATTTTTTTTTTTTTGTTAAGACTATCATTTTCGAAAAGATATACTTTGTTTTAAAAATCCAACTGAGCTTTTAATATTATCCTTTTTATAATTTAGATCATTCTTCCTTTTTAAATCTACACCTTTTACCAAAACATCATAATTTTATGGGATTATTTGTACACATGACTACAAATGTACAATTTCCTTTCAGACACACTGATGGAGGTAACAAAATATTGTAACAAGCCCTTATCAAAAAGATATCTTACCTTCAATCCTGCAAGAGTCAGGATAATTTCCCTTGAAATGGTTTGTGTCTATGATAACCTATAAAGTAAAATGTAAATTAAAATAAATTTTAATATCTACATATGTACATTACATGTATCAAAAGTTATATTATAAACATAGGTCTAACTTGAGGTTTTATTCCTAAAAAAGATATACATGTTTATGACAATAGGATGTTGAAAATACTATATAAACTTCAAATATTATGAGTAAATCAAGTTTTAACTTACTAATAAGGGACATTTAAATCAGTAGCTATAAGCTTGAATTCAAAGTGTTATCATCTATCATTTCACTGTAACAGTTTCTTAAAATAAAACAAAAGCTTGTCACTGCACACTGCTGAACCTAGTTTCCTCTGCATAAATGTGTTGAAGTTCTGAATGCAATCTCTTTATCTACGGATGTGAATTAATTATTAGACCTGTGAATTCAATATCTATTTTCCATACTCTCCCTAATGGGTTTGGATCATCTGATGTAAAGAAACAGCTTTATCAATATTTTTTATGACAGAAAATTGCTTTTTATTTATTACTGAAATATTGATCATTTATCAAGAAAGTAATCTTGGTGAATCATAAGCCAATAATGCAATAACAAACTGATATACATACAGCTTGTGTGACTAAACAGGAAAACTGAATTGTTGAACTATCTTAATTCCAAGTGAAGTGTCATTTGTGTGTTTAAGATTGGGAAAAAATTGTCAATTCGAAAACAAAATATTTTTTTGCTCAAATTTTTTTTAAAAATTGAATCCTTTAGGCTTTTTACACTGATCAGCTTAGAACAGCATATGTGGCCTCCTCTTTGTGTTTTCTTAACTTGTACCATTAATGCATGGAATCAATTTAGGAAGCAATGGGTTTAAAAAATCTCAAATTGATAAATTGAATTATGAACCTTTAAAATACACTGTATGTTCAACTTGTGTATAAAGTACTCATTGAAATTAAACCAAAACTCCAAGGAAGAAGTCCTTTGAAAATTGATCACAAAACAGACAGACAGACAGCTAAATAGTTTTCAACCAGTAGATCTAAACATTAAAGTGTTTCAGAACAATTCAACTATTAGTTTCCAAATTTACAAGTCTTTGTACACCAAATTGTAGAGAAGCTGAAGCCACTTTACCTTAGTGATAATCCCTGGATGTCCCAGCCGGAAAACACACCAGTCATCTCCTACAACCAATAGGTAGGAAACAAAGTTAATCAGAGTTCTAGCCATTAACATCTACAGGGCTGTAGATTAATTTAGTCTCTATGGCTTTAAGTTTTGAAAGAAAACAACAAAATGTAGAGTGTACTGACAGAAAGCAATGTTAGCCTACTTTCTACACTTTCATTGTAGTGTGGATTTGAGACAATTCAAGTAAAATGCTAAATCCCAAGTTTAAACATGGTCATAAAGTAGCCATTTCATGATATCAACTACATTTACACTCTGATATCTCAAACACCAGGGATATGCTGAAATGAATTTTGAAGTCCCCATCATTTATTATATACTTGCATGTATTATATCCTACATAGCTTGAATCATTGGTTATCTAACAGTTTTTCTCAGTCCCATTGACTTCAAGATAAGGTTTGACAATATTTCAAAAGCTTTTAGCTAAAATCTGGTCCACATGAATTCTTAGCCATTAAACCTATATCTTACAAAAAGTATTTCTTTTATCTCTTCTACATGTTTCAGTATTTCTACTTTGTGATCAAAATACCTGGTACTTGTAGAATTCCCTCTTCATCTGCTTCTAGAATGGCTGGTCTGTCAGGCTGCAAACCAAGACAAAGTATCAGTATATTATAACGTATAAGCAGAATTTTTAGCAAAGATCTAATTTTGGCATTATAAGTGAGAGTGTTGAGATCACTAAAATTGAATATCTCTAAAGATTAATTGCTTTTTCTTTGAAATAAGTTCTTAAGTGAACATTTTAAATTGCTAAAATTACATCTTACTAAAAATAAAAATATACCAAATGATTTTTTAAGGACAAACCAGTAAGTTTGCCTCTCAATAAAATCCACAAATATGATATATAACTCAAAAGCAAATTGACAAGGATTTTTATATTTGTGCAAAATGATTTTTAAAAATTCATTTTCAACTAAAAATTAAAGAGAATTCATTGGTATTAAAAATTTGTTAGGAACATTGGTAATGTTAAAGTACCTTGCGAGCAGTCTCCCAACCATCAGCCATTGTTTCTGCCCTACCAGGCTGAATCAAGTTACGGGCGTGACCAAAGTGGACATTGCTGTACCCAATACATGTCCCTCCGTTCTCCATAGCCGCTAGATCTATAATCTGAAACAGTAGAGAGGAGACAACTCTGGAAAAAAATTACAGTCACCGTAAAACCGACATCTAGGTTCACTGGAGAAAGGGAGATAACCTCCACAAAACATCTTGCATTGCTCAAATGTAAGGTCCAGCTTGTAATGTTTGCATTTTCATTTAATTTTTTAGGTAAAATTATAACAGAACTGAAAACTTCAAATGTTAGTCACATCCATAATAAAATAAGTACACAGTTTATTCCTCTGGATGTTATGCTATTTTCAGAAAGCTTACTGCATTCTTAGAGACTTTTGACCAGTCAGGTACTGATCGCCCATACACTCTCAACCTTGCAATGCCACCATCTGAAAAACAAATATACTCAGGGCATGAAAAACAACTATTAGTACATGTATCTCATAAAAGATTTCTGAACAGTTAAGAATGGTAATTTTAAGATAAATATAACTCTAGCGAAGCAGATATTGCAAAATAAAAAGAGATGTACATTTGAAAGGTGTAATTTGCGGCTATTATATCAGCACTCTTAAATCTTCATATATTTCTCTGACCAAACTTGTCACCCAGAAGAGTTGTAATAAATGGGAAAATTACTAAACAACAATATAAAGCTATAAACATTATTCATTCTGCAGTGGTACACATACCTGGATACATATTCAATCTAATATGGGTCCACCTTTCATTACTGTTAACTTCAAAGAAGTTGTGACAGGAAGTTTTATAGCCAGGCTTCAGGGGAGTCCGGGGAACCAGTTCCTGCCATTCCTAAAAATAAAATGAGGAAATAGTGTATCTGTTAATACAAACAATTAAGTGCAAAAAAAATGTTCCTCAGCATAACTTTCATGAGTATGAACCTTAAGGTTAACTCTGGCTATTATCTATATTTTTCGCTCGTATTAGAGATGTGGCTTAATCAGATTGATGCTGGAAATTTGGCTTAATACCTTGATATTTCAAATTTCATCCTGTTGCAAAATGAGTAAGCTTATAAAATGCATTTTTTAACACTAAATTAAGCTTCAATTTTAATGAGACAGTGTCAGTTACCTCCGATTTCAGCTTCTTGATCTGATCTGACATCACCATCGTGGTCGCTGTCCCCATCTTACTCTTCCTCTTGGGAATACTCTCAACAGCAACTATACCAAGGATCAGAAAATATTTACTGCGACTTTATTGAAGATCACAGAATACTTACAGCATGGCTCAGAAAATATTTATAGCAACTATACTGAGGATCACAAAATATTTACAGCAACTATATTAAGGATAGGATAAAAACATGTATTCAGCAACTATGGATAGTTTTCGATTGGCCTGAATTTAGCAAGAGTGATTTCCTGTTGGCTGAGGTTCTGAGTGAATTTTTTCTCACTGAACAACCAATTTCAATCTTGTATAGGTAGAAATATATAACCCTGATTAAAATTATAACACAGATATTAAACTCTGTAATTTGATGTTTAACTGAAGGTTTACCTCCAGAAAGGACAGCTGCCTGGATAGAGACTTGTGGGGAGTAGTTCCCCGTGAAGAAGGAGGTGTCCACATCTACCCCGCTTATAATACCGGGCACACCTGTAAAGACAGTGATGAAAAGTAAACAAACCTGAGGAGAGGTCTTATTTCATTTCAAACTGTGACTTTTTCTTTACAAAAATATATTTCACACATCTGTTAAAAAAAAAAAATTAAAAGAATAGGAATTGACCAAATTTACATGTATTTGTATTTATATGTTTTATACTTGTTTAAAATTTGACCATATTCTGGAGTTCATGACCTAGTTCTAATATCACCAGTCATATATCAGTGACTTAGTTCTATGATACAACAATCATGTGTCATTGGCCTAAAAACAAAAAAAAATTAAATCATGTGCCACTGAATAATCTATGATACCAATGTTGTGTCACTAGCTATTCATATAATAAAATCATGTGTCACTTATATTCAACATGGAATCATGTGTCACTGACCTAGTTCGAGAGTACATCAAAGAAATGTGACACTGACCTAGTTCTATAATACACCAATCATGTGTCACTGACCATAATTTAAACATCAATCAAGTGACACTGACCAAATGCTAGAGCACATTTATCATGAAAAATGACCTAGTTCTGAAAAGGAAAGAAAAAAACCAATCATGTACAATTTCTAAGCACATCAATCAAGTGACACTGACCTAGTTCTAGAGCACATCAATCATGTGACACTGACCTAGTTCTATAATACACCAATCATGTGTCACTGACCTAGTTCTAGAGCACATCAATCAAGTGACACTGACCTAGTTCTAGAGCACATCAATCAAGTGACACTGACCTAGTTCTAGAGCACATCAATCATGTGACACTGACCTAGTTCTATGATACACCAATCATGCCCTGGTATCCTTTTCCTTCTGGTTTCCCATCCATCCATCCACTTCCCATACTTTGTAAAAACTCCAGCTTTAAACACAGGCTCTTCCGCCTTATAAATGAAAAAAAAATAAATTCATGTATACATTAAATAACACGATGTCCACTGTTTAGTATGCCTATTCATTTGAATAAAATTCAATATGATTATATTCAACATGGAATGCTTTGTGCAAGTTTGGTTTCAGTGTTTCTGGTGAAGAAATTAAGAGGTTTTGAAAAGTTTATTTACTAAATTTAGAACAGTCAGTTGAAGGACAGACATATGCTAAACATTTTTTTATCAGAAAAATTTACTAGTTTGAAAATGAAAGAAAAGAGTAATAATACAATTTCTAACTTTCTGATCAATTTACAAATGAAGTACAAGCAATATGTAATTTATTTCTTTGAGGAATGGCCACATTCACTTAATTAACAGCAGTTTTCACTCAAGTTATTGAAGTATTCTGACTTAATAAAGAGTTCTTGTTACCTTCAGCAGGTTTTCAGCCACAGCAAACCAATCATCTGTTGCATAAAGGATTTTCCCTCCAACCTACAAGGAAGATTTAAACATGATATAACAGGATTACATCACAACAAAATAGTGACCATATAACAATATACCTCTTCTGATCTTAAAACCAACATGTATGACCATTGGACAATCATTCTTTAAAAAAAAAATGCTGTCATATCTTTAACAAGGGACTGCTGTTAAAAGTACCTGACATATATTTTGGGTAGACTTTAGTTTACCAGGCCCCAGATCCGCAAGATCCTCGCGCTCATTGGACTATGACGTAACAACTACGTCACTCAACTGAAATGGGTTAAATTTGCACACTATTCGACTGATTAGGGTTAGTCCCCACCTGAGAGATTAAAATATAGTCCTTGCACTAGTAATCAATTTGATTAGGTGTTTGTGTGCATCCATCCGAGAGATTAGGGTTAGTCCTCGCACATTATTCAACTGATTAAGGTTAGTCTAGAGAATCTACATGGGAGTTTTCGTCTAAACGTCTTAGTCCTTGCATACCATCAGATGGATTAGGGTTAGTGACTCGTTCTTTTAGATAAGTTAAGAATTTCAGTTGTTCCTGTACTTTTTCTAAGATCATAAATCAGCTTCAAAGGCATTTTGTTTGTTTGTTTACATGGAAGAATGGCTAAGTCTAGCTGCAGTTCTGTAGCTCTCCAAAAAAAGTTATTGATAGACCGGAGAGCTACAGTGCCACCCATTGAAAAAACTGTATATTTATTGCGCACAAAAAAGTGTGCTCAATTCTTGATTAATTCTTCCAAATTCTTACCTCAATTGCAAAAAATGGAAGATTTCAAAAAATTCCTCTTTCCTCTATCGAGTACTCTCGTAGTTGACATCTGAACGAAGCATATTGGACCGAATTATCTTTGAAACCAAAATGGCAGTATAAATAAGCGAAATGTCCAATGATTGCAATATCAGGGCCAGGAGGACTATTAACAACAATTATGAGGAATGTACTATTAACAACAATTATGAGGAATGTTTTGTTGTGGAAAGAGTCAAAGAATATGTTAGGAACACACGGTTAGTAATATTTTGAGACTACAGCCTTAAAAACATGGAGAAATAAATCGAGAACCGAGCGCATTTTTTTGTGCGCAATAAATATACAATTTTAAATATAAAATTTTTTCGGAGAGCTACAGAACTGCAGCTAGGCTAAGTCCGACAGAAATGGCACTAAGCATGCGCTGCACGCACTTTGATCAGAACTATTCTTTGTCAATTTTTTCCATGAATAAACAATATTTATTAATTTTTTCTGAGAACGGGGTTAAAAACTATGTTTAAAAACCGAAGTTTTAAACTAAAATTTTAACCGTAGAATTCGATTTTGGGGTCAAAAGGCCGAAAAACCTCATATTTTAATTTTTTTCTTTTCGATCGCTCACGCGATCTCGTATATAGTGAAGTTGCCTTCGATGACACTACATTTTAGCGTGTTTTTCTGGGGACCGGTAAAGTAAAGTCGTTCCATTATTTTTAAAAAATGTTCCCAATGTTACCTTTTCATTTACAAGATCATTCAGCTCTGTAAATTTAGGAAATGCTTGTAATGTTGAACTTGGTGGTTCTGCCATTCTGAAAAAAAATATTGAAAGTTATGGGATTTTCTGACACTGGGTGCTTAAGTTTTATAATTCATTTTAGAGTTTAAAGCAAAATCTACCCCCTGTCAACTGGTTTAATAAAACACGTGCAATAAACCCAGTTTCAAATAAACATTTGCATTTGACCGAGATAAAGCAAAACTCTCTACTGCGCCATACTTTTTGTATAATAGATAACAAACATTATTTTTCTTTAAAAGCTCAAATTCTGTTTGCACTGTTTTAGTACCTCCTGCTACATGTAAAAATGTTCGAACAATATTTGGGAAAACGTAAAACAAAATTTATAATATGTCTATATATCTGGAACTTTAAAAATTCAAATGCATTACCTGCACAAATACAACTTTACAGGACCTCACCTTTCGGCAGAATATAGGTCACTAACTTTGTCATATAACACGTCGAGTTGAATCTCGCTAATGTTTTGATTTTGTAACTTTAATTAGCCGACAAAAACTTCCAGCATGAATCAATTACATTAGTTTATTTCTTTTAAATTATTTCACTAAAATCATTTTAGACTTGCGGAGTGAGGTGTTCATATTTTGTGTCCAAAATAAACATAACATTTAATAAATCAATTTTTTGTTTGAGATACAAGCAATATATATATATATATAAATTTTGTTCTTTTTCAATATATCTGATGAATAGCATACACCTTAAAATTAATGTATGTGTTTTGTGCGAAAGCAACATAATTTACTCTAGTGGTTTTTTTTACACCCCCCGAAATACACATAATATATCAAGCTTATTTGCTTTATTGATGACATTACGCAAAGGCAGGAAGCTTTTGAAAAAAAAATGTAATTGCTTCTAATAGACACTTAACCGCAAAAACCCTTACAGAATCGATATCTAGGTACGTACAGCTTGTTTTTTTTTGTTTTTTTCAATCATCTGCAATTCAATTAAACAAACACTTATACTTTTTTAACCATTATCTTTGTGTGAAAAACAGATGCTCTTTTCTCATGTACAAACGTTGTTCGGAGAGAGAGAAAAAAGATTCCGATTTAATCTCTACAAGTGAGTGATGAGGTATATCATTCACGCACTTGTCATTTTGTTTTTGTTGTTGTTTTTGTTTTTTTTGTTTTTTGTTTTGTTTTTGTTTTTGTTTTTTTGTTTTTTGTTTTTTTTTTTTTTTTTTTTTTTTTTTTTTTTTATTCTGGAGTCCAAAACCAGCTATTATTCTTCACACGTTCCAATTAATGCAAATAATTGATAACAAATTTTATTTATTTATATACTGATCTATCTATGTATTTTTTCCTCATTAAAATGATATTTTTAAAGCGTTAAACCTCCAAAATCTTTTTTTTTAAATTGCCATTTAGTACAACTGTAAAATATGTTTCATTCATTGATGATTAAAATTCTGATTACATATAGGGAAAATAATTTATCATAAAAATCATCACAAAAATGGTATTATTTTTTTAAAATCAGAAATTTTTTTTAACATATTCTAAATTGCTCCCTATAAATATTATAAAGGTGAATAAAAAGAATACATCTTAATATCTGCGATAAATCGAAGTAAGAAGATAATATATGAACTTTATTTAAAGTAAAAAAGCCATTAAAATAATAAAAATTAGGAGCAGAGCAAACCTCTAAATCATCAGAGTTTGGATCAGTTACCATGAAGAGGTAAGCATTCTCCGCTAACGGATGACATGCGCCATATGTGCTACTTGTCATGATCAAGCATAAACGGGGAAAATCCAATAACAATCTGTCCAGTATATATATAAATAATGGCCCAACAATTTGTATGAAAAACGTCATTGACAAGGTCATTGTATCGACATATAGAAATTGCGTATAGCCCATTTGGAACTAGATTGTTGGTATTCGTGTTTAATCAACTTGTTTGCCAGAAACTTCCCTTGGAGCAGTACAAAAAGGAATCTCCAAAACATCATAGGTGGGATCAGGTGCCACGGAGGAATGAGCATCCCTTGCCGACCGGTCACACGGCAGTGTACTTCTTGCCATGATCGGGAAATACGGGGAAATCCGTCCACGATGTAGTGTGTAAATAATGCCTTAACAATATAATATGAAAAACTTCAATCAGCATTTGATTAAATGTCAGATTTTATTTGCTGACGAGGTTATTGTATCGACCATAGAAATGATGACTCTAGGCGAGACTGCTTATATTTTTGTTTCATCAACTTGTTTGTCAATAACTTACCTCGTTTTAGAAATTCATCATACGTATATACAGCATACTCTCAAATAAATAAAGATATAAACACCGTATGCAGGTGAGCAGGTGATAAAGGTATATTGTTCCATAAGTAAGTACGGGAAGTTGACGATTGAAAAGTTAAAATCATCACGTTTATTATAATGCTTTGTTGTTGGATTACTATGAACGTCTTTTTCTAGTAAAATATCAAAATATAAAACAGATGTGTCAGACCCGTATTTTATTTTAGGGCCATTTGCGTTAGCGCGACATCGCGTATATATCTCTAGCACACAACGCGCCGTCGCGCTAAAGCTTAACGCAACTTTGCACAACGCACCGTCGCGCAAACACACAACGCGCTGTCGCGCTAACATAACTTTGCACAACGCGCCGTCGCGCTAACACAACTTTGCACAACACGCTGTCGCGCTAACACAACTTTGCACAACGCGCCGTCGCGCTAACACACAACGCACCGTCACGCTTACACAACACCGTCGCGTTAACACAACTTTGCACAACACGCCGTCGCGCTAACACAACTTTGCACAACACCCTTTCGCGCTGACACAACTTTGCACAACACGCCATCGCGATAGCGCAACTTTGAAACTTGCTTGTTGTGTGTTAACAAACGGCGTGTTGTGTGTTAGCGCGAGGTGTTGGATTGTCCGTGTTGTGTGTTAGGCGAATGTACAATGCAGATCACATTACCCAGAATTATAACTTGATATTATTTACAGCACATAGACGTGTGTAAATAAAGTTTAAAATAGAAAACATAAAATATTGAAAATCAGAATCCATTTATTTCGCTCAAACCATACAAAATGGTACACGATGAACATAAAACCAGCTCACATTCACTCCCGACTAAATACTCGGGCTTCAGGACTCGGTATTTTGATTTCAGTGTTACTTATTATTCGGTTGTATCCGTGACAAATGTTATTAGAGGTCCACACCACAGCCTTACACTCGATCCTGACCTGACAGTAGATGATGCAGTTCTCTAAAGATCTGATATGTTGACTGAACATTACATCTGAAAACACATACCCATCCAAAGAGATATTTCGGTGAAAGTACCGCTCATCAAAGCCTCGTCTCTTCGTACTTCCCAACTCTATTAAAAGTAAAAATCTAAAATTGTGGGTTAAATTGGAATTGGTTTTGGTTCAATAAAAATGGAACCTTGTAAATTTACTTACCTTGCCATTAGTCATTTATAGAATTATTTTATTAAAAAGCATTCTGACTGTACACACAAGTAGTACGTACTCGTACTCTGAAGTTGATATTAAAAGACGCCTGAGTTTCTGATTGACAATATCTAAGTGGTTTTTGGAGACAGGGTCTTCCAACAATCTGTTGGAATTCCCATGGGTACCCATGGCAACCCGTTATTAGCAGACATATTTCTGTATTCAAATGAAGCAGAATTTGTCAAAAATCTTATACCCCGGTACATGAAAAAAAGAAAACATAAGCTGTGGTCTTCAACTCGACATTTATAGATGTATCGACGACGTATCGTCAATTTAACAGTGGTTATTACCATTCTTATGTCGATACGATACACGTATATCCCGGTGAGCTTGAGAAAAAAGATACCACATTTTTTGTCGGAGAGATTCAGATCTGCAGCTAACCGTTTAAATGCATATAATTTTGGATAAACAAACAATTCAAAACCATTTATTGGGCTTGGCTTGTCATACATGTATTTAAAGTTGGTCTTAATTCAATAAGTGTTTATTACATCTTTTAATTAAATAAAAATCGTTTTTCATGTAGATGTTTGCATTTAGTCATATTAGTATAATGACCAGGGGCGTTCAAATTCATTTCCCATGGTAAAGTATCAATACTCTGTGTTGAGTTTAGTTGGTCGTATCTAAAATCTCAACATTTATCAAATATTGACATTTAAAGTACCAGACGCACCTTTGAATTGAGTTTTACAAACTACTCCTCTGGCGATCTTTTCGTCACAGTCCCTCTCCTCCCAAAAGTGTGAGCTAGTGTCCATGGCGACACAGTCAGTGGTGTTCTTATTGAGAGCTTCTAACCAGATATAATCTGTAATGTTTCTGTAAAAAAACATTCTACACTTACATTGTGCTATTTAAAACGTTGAGTCAAATAATAAAGAAACACATTTAAAAATGGAAATTTTTAGCCAACAGTAGTATCAAATAATCATTGCTAAACTCCATATGAGAGAAATTTTATAAAGAGGGACGTTAAACAACATACAATCAATCAATCACTTGGTAATTGATTTTCATAGCGTTCATATAGTCAAGAAATTCCAATACTAGTATGTTCCAAAATTATCGGATATATATTAAATGAAAATATGGAGATCTCTAACAGTACCATTAATCTTGTACCATTAATCTATTTGTCAATAGCTTATCTCTTTAAGAACCTGTTCAGTTTGTTATAACATGCGTGAACATGTAAAAATATTAAAATAATAATCTCAAGAATTTTGTTCGATTGCAACATGAGAGTATTTGTCAAGAAACATGTTTTCAGCAAACATATTTTGCAATTGACGAAAAAAATTGTATATTTCCTATTTCCATTTTTGAAAATGCGATTGTCCTTGAACATTTCGATGTCAAAAATAATTGCTTTTATTCACCGCGGGAGAATGATTGAAATTCAAGTGTTGAAAAATGCATGTTTTGATACAATTGCACTTTGTTATAATGTTGCGTTTTCAAATTTCTAAAAGTTTCTTGGATATTTTAACTATATTCACTTATCACATTGAATAAAAATCTATATTTAGCTCTATTTGGCGGGAAATACAACAAAAGTTTAAAATCACATGACCAGTTTGATGAAAAGCTTCTCACCCTCCCTTCCAGTGAGATATGGGGGTAAAGATCAGAAGTTCCATGTCGTAGTCGCTGAACAAGGTTTGGAGAGATCCCCCGTACATAGAACACGTAGATGACGCATCGCCAAAATCCATCATGACGTCACTATTTGCGTAAAAGACGCATCCCCGAAAAATCCCTCCTGTCTGAAGACTGACATTATGACACTGCATACCTATATATCATAAAACTATGTTTATATAATTTTTTATTAATCTTTGAATTATTGATCATAAAGTACACGTAGAAATTTTTAAACCAAGAAACTCTTCAAAATCGTACTATTTATAAACAATAATATATTAAGTGTACTTACCGAAAGAAGTCCATAAAACTGAAACTAGAATGTAAGCTTTATGTTAATCTTAAGTAAATACATGAATTATTTGTATAAAACACTTTCTGGTAAAAGTGACATGGAAATTGTGTGTGTGTTTTTTTTTAATTTGCTGAGAACAGTATTAATATGTAGAATAAAACTTACACGATATTATAACAGAAAACACAATCATTCCAAAATAAATGTTTCAGTGGCCTTATTGCATGGAAATAATTATTTATTTATTCTGCATGGTGAATGGACCTAACTTTATCTCTAAGAATCCAATTAGTTAGTTGAACTATATCGAAGGCAATAATGCTTGAGAATATTTTTAATTATCCACATTTGAGCCTGCTCCATTACCAATAATCACTTGTTCTTGAGAATAAAATACAATTTTATTTGGAGAGAACAATGCTAATTACTTTTCAATTTTCTGTACTCTGAGAAACAAGACCCCCTTTTGTTTAGTGTGACTAAACAGATGTTATATTTCCATTACCCCAAAGGACTTGTTTCTACGTTTTAAAAACCTTTAAATCTAGCTCTTTCTCTCTTTAAAAAAAATGGAGCAACTTTTCGCAATTACCAATCATCCAAGTATACTTTTCATTCATATTGAGATGTCACCTTTTCCTGTCTGCAAAAAAAGCTCATTTACAAGGCGAGGAGAACTCCCACCCCATCCCCACTGTAGAACAATACCGGTATTTTTCTCAGTTTTTAAAGTAATATACGCCGTATGGATGCCGATTTGTATGTGAAACAAAATGATTAAATGATTTGAAACACAGAAAGTGTAATGAAAAAATAATATTTCCACAAACTTTAACTATAAAACTCGTTGTAATAACAGAACAATAAAGCAATATCTGCAATCAAGAATTCAGTCTTTTCATGAATATTGGTAAAGGAAGTGCGTAAACAGTAGGTCTAAATATAGACACGTATGTCCACGGGAAATTATAGACAACTAGGCACGTTGCATTTTGACAACGATTATTAATAAAAGGTTAATATGCGTCATAACAGAGTATAGATTTTTGATAATTACATTTAAAGATAAGTTATATTAATAGTAACACGCCATCCATGTCAAAAGTGAGTTGTATCTCAAAGGGCTTACCTCGTTTTCTTGTGTGCCGTGTTTGTTTATCAATCTAAAAGTAGCGACGGCGTCACGTGGTGGATTTACTTAAAAATAGACATTATTTCCTTGCAGGATAATAAATAATTATAATTTGATAACTTTATAACGAATTTTATTTAAATGGTGTAATTTACAGCATTTTCGTAACTTTTATTGGTAAACAAAATATATAAATTTCCAGCCGTATTTTAAAATGGCGCACGTTATGGCGTATATTACTTTAAAGTTTACAGGAAAGTTATATTATTTCGAAACTTATATTGTCAGAAAAACATACTTTGTGGAAAATTGGTTTATTGAAGCCTTAAAAATTGATTTTTGAAGTGTTCATTTACATTTCAATGACGGAAAAGTGCAGGTAAATCTATTTTACGTTTCAAAAAAAAAAATGGAATCTGAAACCATTTCACACATAAAATTCAAACATTTCGAGAAAAAAGTTCAAATAAAAAAATTTAAAAAGAAGACGTTTCTAGAGTAGTGGTTAACGCGTTCGAACTACTGTCTTATCCATAAGTCACTTAAAACAAGGGCAATGCAATACTATGATGTGCATCCCCTTGCAAAGATCATATCTATAATTTAGGCAGCATTTGACATGATCCCGAGGCAAATTACGCCACTTCCTTTCACACAAAGAACAAATTCACTCAAACACACACACAAAGGACAAACTAATTAATCCAACTACACACACAAAGGACAATCTAATTCACTCAACCACACACACACAAAGAACAGGCTGATTCACTCAACTACACACAAAGGAAAACTAATTCACTCAACCACACACACAAAGAACAAACTAATTAAACCAACCACACACACAAAGGACAAACTAATTCACTCAACCACACACACAAAGGACAAAACTAATTAAACCAACCACACACACAAAGGACTAACTAATTCACTATACCACACACACAAAGGACAAAACTAATTAAACCAACCACACACACAAAGGACTAACTAATTCACTTAACCACACACACAAAGGACAAACTAATTAAACCAACCTTACACACAAGGGACATACTAATTAATCCAACTACACACACAAAGGACAATCTAATTCACTCAACCACACACACAAAGAACAGGCTGATTCACTAAACCACACACAAAGGGCAAACTAATTCACTCAACCACACACACAAAGAACAAACTAATTAAACCAACAACAAACACAAAGGACAAACTAATACACTCAACCACACACACAAAGGACAAACTAATTAAACCAACCACACACACAAAGGACAAACTAATTCACTCAACCATACACACAAAGGACAAACTAATTCACTCAACCACACACACAAAGGACAAACTAATTCACTCAACCACACTCACGAAGGACAAACTAATTAAACCAACCACACACACAAAGGACAAAGTAATTAAACCAACCATACACACAAAAGACAAAATAATTAAACCAACCACACACTCAAAGGACAAACTAATTAATCCAACCACACACACAAAGGACAAAGTAATTAAACCAACCACACACACAAAGGACAAAGTAATTAATCCAACCACACACAAAGGACAAACTAATTAAACCAACAACAAACACAAAGGACAAACTAATTCACTCAACAACAAACACAAAGGACAAAACTAATTAAACCAACCACACACACAAAGGACAAAACTAATTAAACCAACCACACACACAAAGGACAAACTAATTAAGCCAACCACACACAAAGGACAAACTAATTAAACCAACCACACACATGAAGGACAAACTAATTATTTCAACCACACACACAGAGGACAAAGTAAATAAGCCAACCACACACACAAACGACAAACTAATTCAACCAACCATACACAGAAGGGACAAACTAATTTACTCAACCACACACAAAGGACAATCTAATTCACTCAACCACACACACAAAGAACAGGCTGATTCACTCAACCACACACAAAGGGCAAACTAATTTACTCAACCACACACACAAAGAACAAACTAATCAAACCAACAACAAACACAAAGGACAAACTAATTCACTCAACCACACACACAAAGGACAAAACCAATTAAACCAACCACACACACAAAGGACTAACTAATTCACTATACCACACACACAAAGGACAAAACTAATTAAACCAACCACACACACAAAGGACTAACTAATTCACTTAACCACACACACAAAGGACAAACTAATTAAACCAACCACACACACAAACAACAAACTAATTCACTCAATCACACACACAAAGGACAAACTAATTCACTCAACCACACACACAAAGGATAAACTAATTTACTCAACCATACAAACTAATTAAATCAACCACACACACAAAGGACAAACTAATTAATCCAACCACACACACAAAGGACAAACTAATTAAACCAACCACACACACAAAGGACAAAGTAATTAAACCAACCACACACACAAAGGACAAACTAATTAAACCAACCACACACACAAAGGACAATCTAATTCACTCAACAACACACACAAAGAACAGGCTGATTCACTTAACCACACACACAAAGGGCAAACTAATTCATTCAACCACACACACGAAGAACAAACTAATTAAACCAGCAACAAACACAAAGGACAAACTAATGCACTCAACCACACAAACAAAGGACAAAACTAATTAAACCAACCACACACAGAAAGGACAAAACTAATTAAACCAACCACACACACAAAGGACTAATTAATTCACTCAACCACACACACAAAGGACAAAACTAATTAAACCAACCACACACACAAAGGACTAACTAATTCAATCAACACCACAAACAAAGGACAAAACTGATTAAACCAATCACACACACAAAGGACTAACTAATTCAATCAACACCACACACAAAGGGCAAACTAATTAATCCAACCACACACACACAAAGGACTAACTAATTAAACCAATCACACACTCAAAGGACTAACTAATTCACTCAACCACACACACAAAGGACTAACTAATTCAATCAACACCACAAACAAAGGACAAAACTAATTAAACCAACCACACACACAAAGGACAAACTCATTAAACAAACCACACACACAGAGGACAAACTAATTAATCCAACCACATACACAAAGGACTAACTAATACAACCAACCACACACTCAAAGGACTAACTAATTCACTCAACCACACACACAAAGGACAAACTAATTCACTCAACTACATATACAAAGGACAAATTAATTAATCCAACCACACACACAAAGGACAAACTAATCAAACCAACCACATACAAAGGACAAACTAATTAAATCAACCAAACACAAAAGAGAAACTAATTAAACCAACCACATACACACACAAAGAACAAACTAATTAATCCAACCACACACACAAAGGACAAACTAATTAAACCAACCACACAAACAACAGACAAACTAATTAATCCAACTACACACACAAAGGACAAACTCATTAAACCAACCACACACACAAAGGACAAACTAGTTAATCCAACCACACACACAAAAGACAAACTAGTTAATCCAACCACACACACAAATGACAAACTAATTCAACCAACCACACACTCAAAAGACAATCTAATTAAACCAACCACACACACAAAGGACAAAGTAAATATACCAACCACACACAAAAAGGACTAACTAATTAATCCAACCACACACACAAAGGACAAACTAATTAAACCAACCACAAAGGACAAACTAATTAAACCAACCATACACACAAAGGACAAACTAATTAAT